GCTTCCATGTTTTGCGGGCCTTTCCCACTGTCCTTCTGCACAGCCCCTGCAGGAGGCTTCCCTGAGTGCCTCCAGGGCCTTATCCCAACTGCTCAGCCTGTACCTGCCACACCGTCTTCCTTGGAACGGGTACCTAGCTGTATGGACTTGGGCTGAGACTCAACCTCTCTGGGCATCCAAGTTTTCACCTATAAAACAGTGATGGCACATTTGTCCCTGGCTACCCGCTGGGGATGGGTTCTGGGCCCATTGATGCTCAAGTGCCTTCTGTAGATTGGCACACCTGCGTGCCCCCTCTAGTAGGTGCCAAATCATCTCTAGCACAACTAAGACCACACGCGTGGTGTGGAAATCGTTGTCACAGATTGTTTGGGGAATAATGACAAGCAGAAAAGAGTTTGAGCAGGATGTGGTGGCACACACCTCTGATCCCCGATACTCAGGAGGCTGGGGCAGGAGGGTCGCAAGTTTAAACCCAACCTGGGCGATTTAGCGAGACCCTGTCTCAAAAAATAAAAGGAGGCTGAGGATGGAGCTGCCCTGAGTTCAATCCCCAACCCCAGAAGAAACAGAGAGAGACAAGAATTTATGGAAACCTGGTGGGTAAAAGTCTTGTACTCCAAGCAGGAATGAAATGCGTCCATCCCCTTTGTGTTTTTTATTTTGACAGCATCTTATTAAGTCACTAAGCTGCCCGGGCTGGGCTTGAACTTGCGATCCTCCTGCCTCAGCCTCCCCGAGTGCTGGGATCACAGGCGTGCACACCGTGTGCTGTTGGACATGCCTTCCTGATGTCCACACTGCACCCTTGGCAAGGGTCCTGCTGTGTCGCTCTCGGACCCTAACTGCCCCTTTCCCTTGGTCTGCCCTCCACAGAGAGAACCAAGGCTCTGGGGTGCCCGTGTCTGGCCCCAACCTGTCGACCACGCGGCCCATCCAGCAGGACCTGGGCCGCCAGGACCCGCCGCTGGCCGAGGACATCGACAACATGAGGAACAACAAGCTGGCCACCGGAGAGGCGGCGGGGCCCCACAACAGCCTGGGCCCCCCGGGGCTTCCCCAGAGCCCGGCCAAGACGGGGACCAGCGCGGACCCCGGCCACATGCCCAATGCGCCCACCATGGCCACCAACCCCCAGAACTCTGCCAGCCGCCGGACACCCAACAACCCGGGGAACCCCGCCAACCCCGGGCCCCCCAAGACCCCCGAGAACAGCCTTATCGTCACCAACCCCAGCAGCACCCAGAGCAACTCAGCCAAGACTGCCAGGAAGCCCGACCACACCGCAGTGGACATGGCCCCCGCCTGCCCGCCGCCCCTCGACCACACGGTAGTGCAAGGTAAGGCCGCCGGGGCTCAGGACGCGTCCCCAGGGAGCCGGAAGCCCTTGGACCACTGCAAGGTCCTCGGGGAGAGGTGGGGAGGACTGGGAGGGGGCCTGAGAGCTAGACCGTGCAGATCACGCACAGCACTCACTGCGCAGAGGGAGGAAGAAACAAGAAGAGCAGGAGCAGCGGTGCACGCCTGCAATCCCAGGAACTCAGGAGGCTGAGGCAGGAGAATCCCAAGGTCAAGGGCAGCTCGGGCAAGTTTTCGAGACTCTGTCTCAAAATTTAAAGAGAACTGAGGGTGAAGCCAGGCGTGGTGCTGCAGGCCTGTGATCACAGCACTTGGGAGGCTGAGGCAGGAGGATTGAAAGTTTTCATCCCACCTGGGCAATTTAGCGAGACCCTGCCTCAAAATGAAGAGAACTGGGTCTTAGCTAGACCTTGTCTCAAAGTACAAAAAAAGAGGGGATGTATTTCAGTGACTGGGGGACCCCTGATTTCAGTCTCCCATACCACTGAAGTAATAATATTAATAATGATAATATCCCACGAGGGTCCCAGCAGACTTAGGTGGTACAGTGGTTGAGAGAAGCATTCTGGAGCCAGGCTGCCCCAGTTCAAATCCCTGCTGTCCCTTCTCTTGGCTGTGTGGCTTTAGGCAAGTTGCTTTACTTCTCTGTGCCTTGATTTCCTCCTGTATCAAATGGGGATTGTAAAGTGTCAACCTTGGCCAGGTGTGGTGGTGCAGCACTCTATAATCCCAGCCCTGTGGGAGGCTGAGACAAGAGGATCTCAAATTTGAGCCCAGCCCGAGTAAGATTCTGTCTCAAAATAAAAACTAAAAAGGGCTGGGTATGTAGCTCAGGGTGAAGGCCCTGGGTTCCAGACCTGTACTACAAATAAACACAAAGCCCCAGGAGGGTCATGTGAGGGCTGGCTATCACCCGCGGTACCCCGACCCTGGGCCGTGTGTGTGGACGGGCAGGAAGTCACGGCGGGAGGCCGCTGTCTGTTCTGCTCCCCACAGTGAATAAAAATGCCAACCCAGACCCACTGCCAAAAAAAGAGGAGGAGAAGAAGGAGGAGGAGGAGGACGATGCCGGTGAAGATGGCCCCAAGCCCATGCCGCCCTACAGCTCCATGTTCATCCTGTCCACCACCAACCCGTGAGTGCCGCGCTGGGCGGGCACGGGCGGGGGCCGGGGAGGCCCCAGACACCACTGTCCCAGACAGGCCACAGAGCAGGACCGAAATGACGGTCCTAGCTGGGCATGGGGCTCCACACCTGCTGTGCTGGCTACTCTGGAGGCTGAGGCAGGAGGATTGCAAGTTGGAGCCCAGCCTGGACAATTTAGCAAAATCCCTGTCTCAAAGCAAAATTTTAAAAGTGGACTGAGAGTGTGGCTCAGTGGTAGAGCACCTGCCCAGGAGACATAAGCCCCTAAATTCAAAACCCCACACCACAAAAAAATAAATAAATAAATAAGTAATAAAAGTGATTCAGTCTTCAGTCACACAGGATGGGAATGTGTCCTGATACACTCATGATTAGAAAAAGCCTCTTCCTGCCACCAGCTCAGAAGTGGTCATCAGTATGAAATCTACACCATAATGTTGGGAGAAGTCCGATTACTTATTTATTTATTTTTGTCTTTTTGAGACAGGGTCTCACTGTGCAGTTCAGGCTGGCCTTGAGCTCACTTTGTAGCCCAGGCTGGCCTCAAACTCATAGCAATCCTCCTGCCTCAGCCTCCTGAGTGCTGGGATTACAGGCGTGTGCCACCACACCTGGCTAGAAGTCCTTTTAAAAATGGCTTCTTTGTGCTGTGTACAGCCTGTACAACTGTACATGGCAGCCCTGTGCCCTGAGCTCTGCTCCTAACCTCTGCCCTATAAAGTTTTGACTCTGGGCAGATGGTCTCCGTTTGGTGTCCTGCTCCCTGAGGCGTCCTTCAGGAGAGAGATTATTTAGGGGAGAAGTGTATCCCAGGGATGTCATGTTGGCACAGACGTTTTTAGGGTTGTAGTTTCCAAAAAAAGTATTTCCTAGAACCCTGACATCTCAAAGTGCTTTGGGGACAAGAAAAAAGAGAAGGAAAGAAAGAAGAACCCTATGGGTCAGTGCTATTCTTGTCCCCATTTGAGGTGAAGATCCAGAAAAGCCATTGTTCGTGGTGCTGGTTTTTCTGTTTGGTCGGTGTCGAACATGGGCCTCCATATGCTGACCAAGCACTCTGCCTCTGAGCTATGGCCTGACCCTGGCTGCCTTGTTTGTCACCACTCAGTCCTGCATCATCTGCATGACCTTATGAACTGTGACTGTGATCAACTCCATTTACAACGTGAAGAATCATTGGGCGTGGTGGCACATGCCTGTCATCCCAGCACTTGGGAGGCTGAGGCAGGAGGATCACCGTGAGCTCAGGTCCAGCCTGGATTACATAGCGAGACCCTGTCTCAAAAAAACCATAACAAATAAAACAAAACAAGAATTATGTCATCTGCCTTAGTTACTTATCTCTTGTTGCTGAGACAAAATACTCAACACCCAAAATTAAGGGAGAAAAGGTTTATTTAGCTCATAGTCTGTGGAGTTTCAGTCCATAATCAGCTGGTTCCAAGGCAAGGTGGCATGGTGAGGGGCAACAGTTCATGGCAGCAGAAGACAGCAAAAGCAATAAGAGCAAAAATGGGGAGAGAGCAAGCCTCTTTTCCTCCCTTACATTGTATGCAGGCTGCCTACCCTAGGATGAGTGTGGCACTCACACCATCTCCCTGCCCTCCTGTTGCACAGGTTCAGGATGTTTACAGAATGAGGCCCCTGGCCCCATGCTGAGTCACTTCTAAACTTCTCAAATTGACTCACTGTGTGAACCATCACAACCTCCTAGAGTGTAAATAGCTGCCCTAGGGCATGTCCTCCACACCCTAGGATAGAGAACTGCTGAGTCACTTAGTTAAGCTTCTGAATTTTTCAAACTGACACCAGGAATCAACCATAAGAACATTCAAGGTTTAAAGGCTCCAGTACAGCCTGCAGTCCACGGTAGTCCCTGACATTTTGGAGCCTCCCACATGCCAGGCGTACATCCGCCCTTTTGGTCTCATGCTCAGTGGCTCTTTTATATGCGAGGGCACAGAGAGAGAGGGCAAAACATACCTCAGGTCACAAGGTTATTTTTTAAAAAGAGGAAGGGCAGACGGACTCTGCCCAACCCACAGGTGCCTGTGCGGCTGGACCTCAGGCCGTGCTGTGTGCGGCAACCGTTTTGTCTCCTGCAGGACCACGGGCAGCATTTCCTCAGCCCGGTTTGGGAATCAGGGTACCCCAAGGACCTGCTGGGCAGACAGGACGGCATGCTCAGTCTCCAAGACACATGGGGCCGGGCAGGGAGCCGCGGTGTGTGGAGCCCCGTAGGGACAGGGTGGCGGGAGCAGGGCCAGGGCCTGTCCCGCGTGGACTCAGCGCCCCCGCGTCCCCACAGCCTCCGCCGCTTGTGCCATTACATCCTGAACCTGCGCTACTTCGAGATGTGCATCCTCATGGTCATCGCCATGAGCAGCATCGCGCTGGCCGCTGAGGACCCCGTGCAGCCCAACGCACCACGCAACAACGTGAGTTCCGCCCGGGCCCCGACCCGCAGTGCCTGGGCCCGAGACGCCTCAGGCTGCCACAGCCGCCGCGGGGAGGGGCGGGGGCTGAGGGACACAAGGGAGCTCTGCCGCCCTGCCAGGATGCCAGTGGCCGGCCCAGTGTGCACGGTGGCTGGGTTCTGCCCCCAGCAGTGCAAAATAAAACAAAAAATGAAAAAATTTTGTACCAGGTATGATGGCGCACACCTGTCCTCCCGGCCGCCTGGCAGGCTGAGGAGAAGGACCACAAGTTCAAGCCCAGCCTGGGCAACTTAATTTAGCGAGAGCCTGACTCCAAATAAATAAAAAGTGCTGTGGATGTAGCTCAGTGCAGGGGCCCTGGGTCCCATCCCCAGCACTGAATAAAAGTAAAAAAGAGAAGGAATAACAGATGCACAGTTTGACTCAAACACAACAGGTTTGTTTGTTTTTTTGTTTTTTCTTTTGGTACTGGGGATCGAACTCAGGACCTGGTGGCTGCTAGGCAGATGCTCGTGTCACTGGGCTATGTCCCCAGCCCAAACACAAAGCTTTAATCCTGAGGGGAACGTTGACATTTGCAGCAGGGGCGGCAGGCGCCTAGCGCTGCGGGGCCCAGCAGCACCCCCATGAGGGTGTGAGCCGCGATCCACAGCCCGGCCCCTGCTCATCGGCAAGCATTTCGTGAGCACCTGCTATGTGCGTGGCACCGTGCTGAGCCAGAGGAGCCTCCCTGGGGCCAGCCCTGTTGCTGTGGGACTGACACTGGATAAGAAAGACAGACGATGAGATTATTCACAGACTCCCTCCTAGCACTCGGGAGGCTGAGGCAGGAGAATCTCTGCGAGTTCAAGGCCAGCCTGGGCTACAAAGTGAGACCCTGTCTCAAAATAACAAAAGAAAAAAAATCATCGGCAGTCATAACCACAGTGTGGCAGGAAGTAATAACGCAGGGGCGCGGAGGTGCAGACCCAGCGCGGACAACACCAGTGCCTGGAGGTGGCATTTGAAACAGGTGGTTGGAGGGGCGGGGCACAGTGGCAAAGTGGCATTGGACCTGAGCCATACGAGGAGAGGAGTGGCCTCGCCGAGAAGGATACAGTCGTCCCCAGCACCACCTCAGTCCACACAGAGCTCGGGGCAAATAAAAAGAATAGAAAGGCGTCCTTGGCACTGGTAAAGCCACCGCGCTTGGTGATTTGGTGGATTTGTCGCCCTCTGCTGACTACTGCGGGTCAAAACAGCTGTCCGTCTGGAGAGGAGGGGCAGATAGGGTCCCGGGCGGTGCGCACCTTGCCCTCCTGGACGCGACGGCTACCTTTGCTCTGGGTGCAAATCCCGCTCCTTGAAGACTTTGCGGTTGCAGGGGTGTTGCTAGATTCTGCGGGAGCAAGCCTGTGATCCTGTGCCCTCCTTCTGCCCCCTGCAGGTGCTGCGGTACTTTGATTATGTTTTCACCGGAGTCTTTACCTTTGAGATGGTCATCAAGGTAAGTGCAGAGAGAGCAGGGTGTGGGGGTGAAAGCCTGTGGGAGGCTGAGGCAGGAGGATTGCAAATCTGAGCCCAACCTGGGAAACTGAGCAAAAACTAAATAAAAAAGCACTGGGGGTGCAGGGCCGACTCTGGGTTCAATCTCTAGGACAAAAATTTTTAAAAGAAAGGGGCTGGGGATTTAGCTCAGTGGCACAGCGCCTGCCTGGCAAGCGGAAGGTCATGAATCAGATTCCCAGGAAAAAAAAAAAGAAAAAGAAAGTGAAAGAAAGCAAGAAAGGAAGGAAGGAGAAGAAAGAATCTCTGGTGGGTGGATTGAGTGTGCATGGGTTATGCCTTGAAGTCTGGGCCCACGCCCCTCCTGCAGGATGGGGTGGGCAAAGGGACTTCCCTGTCCAGGGGTGCCAGAGCCCAGGGTGGGGCCGGATTCCCAGCACCCTCTCCTGTGCCCCTGCAGATGATCGACCTGGGGCTCGTCCTGCACCAGGGGGCCTACTTCCGCGACCTCTGGAACATCCTGGACTTCATAGTGGTCAGTGGGGCCCTGGTGGCCTTTGCCTTCACGTAAGTCTCCATGCAGGGCCCCTGTGAGGCCACCTGGGGTTGGGCTGGGGGTCGTGTCCCTGGATGCAAAGATGGAGACATGGGCTCTGGGCGGTGGGGACACCAGCATGCCCCCCACAGGAGCAGTGACTAGTTTTGTGCATGACCAGGGTGGGGTGGGAGGAGATGCTGTCACCTCTGCCTCCACACACAGCAGTGGCCTCGCCATGTCACTGGCCATGCTGTGCGCTTTCGGGGACATCTCATCTCCCTTCTGCTCCACACCCTCTGCCCCACCGCTGTCTCTTTGGGGAGCTCCTAAAAAGACAGCCAGGACATGAGTGTGCATGAAGATCCTGACCCCACCTTGTGCCAGAGGCCCTGTCATCATAGCCCTGATGACTTCCTGGCGTATTTGTCACCTCTCCTACCAGCCCTAGGTTCCTCTGCCCTGTCAAGATCATGTGTCATCACACAGCTCTAAGACGGTGCCCTGGTTGTGGATGGTGGCTTCAAAATGGCACGCAAGAGCAGAATAGCCATTCCAAAATGGCACCCTGGAGCTTAGTAGCCATCCAAAATGGCACCTGAGTCTGGGTGGCCATTCTAAAGTGACTTCCAAGGTCTGGACAGTCATTTCAAATGGCACCCTAGGGCTTAACAAGCATTCTAAGGGACTGCCTGAGCTCTGGGCAACAACCTCAAGCTGGCATCAGAGTTCTACACAGCCATTTCAAGATGGCACCCAAGAGGTGGGCAGCCAATGTAAAATGGCCCCTGAGTTCTGGGAGGCCATTTCAAAATGGCACCCAAGTGCTGGACAGCCATTTCAGGACGGCACCTTAGGGCTTAGCAGGCATGTTGAAGGGTTGTCTGAGTCCTGGGTAGCTATTTCAAAATGGCGTCGAAGTTCTAACTCGCCATTTCAGGTTGTTGCCCGTGAGCTGAGCATCCATTCCAGGATGACTCCTTAGGGCTAAGTAGCCATTCCTCTGAGAGCCCATCCCAGAATGGCAGCTGAGTTCTGGGCAGCCATTTCAAGATGGTGCCCAAGAGTTTAGCACCTTTTTTAAGATGGTGCCTCATCTCTGGTAGCCATGTGAAGAGGAACCGTAGGGCTTCATGGCTATTCCAAGCCGGTGCCTGACGTCTAGGCAGCCATTTCAAAATGGTATCTGAATTCTGGGCATTCTTTTGAAGGTGGCGCCCAAGGGCTGAGCTGCCGTTCCAAGATGGTTCCTCAGTTCTGGGTGGCCATTCCAGGGGGGCCTGCAAAGGCTGAGGAGCCTTAGCCCTCAGGGGCCTGGTAGTGAGTTTAACAGTAACTTCCCCACACTGGAGACCTTTGTCACAGGCTGAAAGGTGACAGACTCAGAAGCAAATCTTGAGGACTTGGCCTCATAAAGGCCACAGAGGCCTGTCACAGAGGCCATTCCCAAAGAGAGGGTCTTGTAGTGATTGTGATCCTGCAGTGGAAAATCTTAGGTCCCTCACCAGACACGGAGTCCTGAACAGTCTCCCAGACCCAGCAGAGGGCCAAGACAGTGGCGCGTTCCCAGTTCAGGGCTACACAAGGCCACGCTCAGCGTCTCCCCGGAACCACAGTGAGGTCGGGTCATGTTCGGACAAGGACCCTGCAGGCTTCAGGGGACCGAATCTGGGCATGTGCTGTGAAAGGGGGCAGCTGGTGACCTGACTCTGCCTGGAGCCCTCCACACCCCCTACTCTTTCCTCTTTCTTACCTCTCTTTCTAGCCACCCTTTCCTTCTCTTTCTTCTCTCCTGCTCAAATAATTGTTATTTGAAGAGCTTCTAAATAATAACAAATCAGGGTGTTTGGCAACATTATCATGCAGATGTTCTGTGGCAGCCAGGCGTGGGACACACGCCTGTCACCCAGCACTCTGGGAGGCTGATGCAGGAGGGTCACAAGTTCAAGTCCAGCCTGGGCAATTCTGAATCACAATGGGTCAATTAACAAAGGATGTGAACAGCAATTTCATAGATATGATAACTAATAAAAAAGAGCGGCCCCAGACGAGGTGGCGCACGCCTGCCAGTCATCCCAGGAGGGTCTCGAGTTCGAGGCCAGCCCGGACTGCAAGAGAAAGGGATGGAGCAGGGGTTGTCAACTTAATTGGAACTCAGAAATGTGTAAAATAAAAACCGAGGCACAGTATTTTTCCTATCAAGTTAGCACTGGTTGGTTGGTTTTGCTTTATTTCTGAGTCAAGGTCTTGCTATGTAGCACAGGCTGGGTTCTCGCGCCTCTGCCGCTGAGCGCTGGGGTGACGGCTGCGCTGCCACTCCCGGCTTGTGGTTTTTTGTTTGTTTGTTTGTTTGTTTTGCTTTTTTTCTGGTACCGGGAATTGAGCTCACGACCTTGTGCTTGCCAGGCAGGCGCTGTGCCACTGAGCTAAATCCCCAGCCCCCGGCTTGTGTTTGAAGAACACTAGGGAGTCCGCAGTGCGAGTGAGGACGTGAGCACAAAGGCTCCTCCCTCCCTCGTCTTCTGCTTACGCGGGTCCTTGTCAGGCAGTGCCATGCGAGACCCAGAGAGAATTTAAATTCTGGAAAGCCAGAACTTTTACCCCGCTCAGCCTGGCCTGGACCCACCCTAGGAGGCGACCTAAGAATCTCTGTGCCCTTCCTGCCTCCCGTCCACCTCTGCCCTCTTCCCCTCCCTCTCCCCTCTCTCCCCAAACCCTGTACCTCTGGTGGACGTGGGCCGGTCCAGCCGCCCACCTTCCCTGGACCACGTAGCCTGCCGGAAGTCACCTGCAGTCACCTGACCGGGTGGGGTGAGGCCATCAGCCCCCAGGCAGGAGCAGGCCCTCTCCGCACCCTTGACCAGGGTCCCAGGCCTCAAGGGAAGCGGGTGTGACCTGTTTGTCTTGCTGGCTGGGCCCTGGGTGGTGACTTTGCCCCGCACGCTGAGAAGAGGACCCTGCCACCACCTGGCCCCATTGCCACCCCCACAAGGCCCCTGGACTCGGGCACGGCGTGACCTTCCAGGACCAGGAACCCGCTCTCAACCTTTGGGCCTGTGCTCACATGAGTTGAATTTACAGCAGACTCGGGAGTCACCATCAACCTCCTTTTGGGGTTGTTGAATTGGGTTTTGGTCTTTGCTGTTAGTTTGTTTTTGATTTTCAGTTTTTGTAGGGTTTTGGTTTTTGTTTTTTTTTGTGTGTGATGCCAGGGATTGAACCCAGGGCCTTTTCACTTAGCCCCATTCCCCAGCCCTTTTATTTTTTTTTATGTTGAGACAGGGTCTCCTAAGGTGCCCAGGCTGGTCTCGAAACCCTCCTGCCTCAGCTTCCCAGAGTGCACCACCATGCCCGAGAACAGCCCAGGAAGCCTCTTAAGCAAATCCTGTCACGGGCTGGGGGGTGAGTGCGTGCCTAAGGTATGAGGCCCAGGCTTCGATCCCCAGCACCGCAAAAAACAAGTTGAAATCAAGATCCATGAGTGGCAGGGTTCCTTGTGTCACGGAGGTCTACCCCTGGTGCTAAGTTCCCTTTCAGACACAGGGATGCAGCGGGTCACCGGCCCGTCTGTCACAGCGCGCTTGCCGTCACCAGGCCCCGACAGTGATGAGACTTTTTCATCAGGAGTGCCTGGGTTTGCCGGGAGTGATGACCACGCCCACCCCGGGAGTTGGCGCAGGCGCAAACACACTTGAAACTCCGGCCTCAGTGCTGCCCGCCCCTTCCGTCCACCACTTCTTTTCTTCCCCAGGCCCTCCCATACCCACAGAATCTACCTCCCCACTTCCTGTCATCTGTCTTCCGTTTTGGTCTTTAATTGATTTATACTTGGGGTTTCTCATGTAAGAGAAACCTTGTGGTGCTTAATCTTTTTGTTTGTTTGTTTGGTTTGGTTTTTTCCCAGTACCGGGAATCGAACTCACGACATTGCACTTGCCAGGCAGGCGCTGTGCCACTGAGCTAAATCCCCAGCCCCAATTTTCTGGGCCTTATTTATTCCACTTAAAGCAATGGTCTCAAGGTGCA